TCACACAAACTAATTGAGGGCTATCTGCACTAGCCATCCCTAATTTAGCAGTGACAGGTAACAGGAAAGGCAGCTAATCAACACCACCGACTCTTGAGTTCCTCTTTTACCAACAAATAGTGGGACTGACCATCACATTATAATGCTCCCATGACTGAAAGTGCAAGCATGTTCAGTGAGAAGGAATCTAAACAATGACCTGCAGATTACAAGTCAAACACCCTAACTACCAGGCCTATAAGTTGAAATAATCAAAAACAGGAATAATCAGAAACACTAATTTTGATTAGTTGACTATTTTTTGTAACAACTGATACAATCAGAATTTGATTAATCAGTTGTTGGAATAATCAAAAACAGTGATAATCAGAAACACTAATTTTGATTAGTTTACATGACATTAATCAATATAATCAGTGCTCATAGTAATAATAAAGAACACAATATCGTGTATAGCAATTAGAGTAGATGAAACAAACTGTCAGAAGTCTGATATCAGTGAAACTAGTTTTCACACATTCATGCATCCTTTTCAGTCTCGTGTTGCATTCTCGGAGGAAAAACAGGTCAACAAGCACCTACGTGACCCCTAATCTTGGAATTCCCTTAAGGACACAGGAGGTCAGGAATACAAAATATTTTTTCATTTGATTTTTTCCATTACTGCTTTATTTTGGGTTAATTGTCATTTATAAGTTTAATAGCCGATATCAACCCTCTTAACTCTGGAAAAGTATTTTCATGAAATGGAGACCTACTTGATTACCAAATATAGAGGCCAAACTTTACTGCAATAATTTATGTGTAAGACATGCTTCTACAATTACTAATGGAAATAACAAGGGTTTCGTTAAGAAAACATTAAGTATATTACATTTATAAAAAGGATCCAAAATGCTTATTAAATTATATTCAGAGGAAAATGTTTAATATAAGATCAATACATTTTACTAAGAGATCTTGTATGTAAGTATTGACTTATATATTCAGGCTAGTCCATTTTGTTCTAGATGAACTAAAATTAATTCTTACAAACAACGGTAGAAGCATAACACTACAATGAATGAGTAGCTTGGCCAGATAAGTATATATTACCCAGTCAAGCCATCTCAAAACCTTTAAGGATAAGACTGTTTTCCTCCCCCACCCTCTTCCTAGTCATTTCCCTTTCTCCAAATGACAATTATCTCCAAAACCTTTCTTAGACAAATTATAACAGGTTTTAAAACTATTAATTTTTCTTATAAATAAAGTTTGCTTATATTTATAATAAAATTGCAATTTTGAGACAAAAAAAAAGTGTGCCCTCTTGTTACAATGTGATATCTGATCAAGAACCCAAGCATTTGCTTAGCTAGTAAAATAGCATACTTTCAAAACTTATCAGACTTTATGTAAATATGACATTCTTTCATTTATAAAAAAATAAGTTTTGTTTCCCATATAGAAGCATTCTGTTCATAAAGGTAGATATTCAAATTCAAACATTACAGGTGATTTTCAAGTTTATGTTGTGCCCCATCAGCTGATTAGTCACATCAACCAACAGCACTTGTGATTCTTTTTTTTTTCCCAACACTGATTCTGACACTTTTACAAGTAACTTACAAACATTTTCCAGTGGTCACAGAAGTTAAGTTTCAAATGCAAGAATGGTTTGTTACATCTTGTTTATATTTTTGTAAGTATGAGGAAGTAATATCAGCCACCCTCAGCACCAATGATAGACACGTTTTGCATCATCATTGACCATTAAATGTTTAATCCACTGTTAACTTTTAAATGTTTTGTTTTACATTCACTAAGTCTGAGTTAAATATGGTCGGTAATGGCAGTTCGCCTAGCAAATGCTCATGGGTAGACTTTTCTTCATCAAATGTGTTTGAGCCACAGAATGGTTTGCCTGATGTCTAAAATTTGTTTCAAATCTTTTAAACATTTCTCAGATACATAGATGAATACAAAGAACTACATTTGAATTGTTTTGAGTGGGTAAGATGCCACATCGATGGGCATGACCTTCTAACTACTATGCTTTTTATTGTGTCTTTATTTTTAAAATGTAACTTCAGAGCCCACACACAGTCCTATTGAAGTGACTGAATACTAAACCTTCTACCCCCCACCATTTTCTAGCATATGATGTATACCTATTTAACCCCAAAAGAATGCAAGTATCTACAATATAACATTATAAACATTTCCAAATGTCTCAAATAAACAGTATTTTACAGCCTCACACCTATCTCTAACACAAATAAGTCAATATGGTATAGTGTACCTATCAGTATAGGCCTGTATGGTGGGTAGGAAATAGAAAAGGGGGACAAGGAACTCCAGGCTATGTAAAGCACTAGCATATTAGGGTAAGAAAAATAAGTAAATAGTTTTCAAATAAAAAAAAGAAAAATAATTTGAAGCAAAGTATTTAATGATATGAAAACCTGGTAGGAATGATCAACAATACACTGGTACATCATAACCATGACAAGTGAATCAATGTAATATGGCATATAATATGCTGCAAGGATGTACAGCAGATGCAACCCAGGACATCATAAACATGGTCAAAGACAGGACATTTTCAACATTTAGTGCAATTGGGATTCACCCAAACTGGAAACAAACATTTTTTATTTATTTTATTTTTTTGGGGGGGGGGTGCATCCAAACCCACAGTGTATGGGCCTGCAATAATTCCACTATATAATTCTTTACAGAATTAACTTATCTCTCAGACTGATTGTATAGTGTATGTTCTCCCAAAAATTAACCAGAAAAGAACCACTTATACAAAGCAAATTTACATTAGGATTATTAAATAAAAAGAATAGTAGTAGTCTAACAATAGCAAGATAATCTACATTTTTCATAATAAAAATACTTTTAATAGTACTTACAGTTTTTAATCAGTATCACGTGAGAGCCAAAATCTGCCAGGCTTGAATTAACAAAAGCAAAACCTAAGTTTACCAATATCCCACAATACCACACATCCTGTAAGTATGACTTGTTTACTCAAAACATTAATTGAAGTGTTACCATGGATGGTGTTTTTATCCCATTTAGGTACTTTTCGATAATTTTTGGTATGATGGTATGCTAGTGAGGTTTTTGATACCTTTTGACTTAATGTGGTACCTTTTTTGTTCTGAAAAGCAAACAGCTGATACAGATGTTACAACTGTAATTTACATAAACAAGAAACACTTTAGTTAATGTTATGTGTGTTAATGACTATGTTAATGTTTGGTTTGTAGAATTAAATAATTACAAACTTATGTGATAAAAGTATAGCTAACAGCACTTTAATTAATTACAATTAAGTAACTGCTCTCTGTTATGTTGGTAGCATTATTAGTCATCATTACGTTACCCATAACTGTGAGCAATTTCAATGTTTTTCAATTCATTTTATGTTTCAGTTACTATCTTTGTTCTCAGCGTCATAATCTGTTATATATTTGATGTAGTTCTTCAATGATGTCAATCCTTCAGTGGGTAAAGAAAAAACATATCAGTACTTAATTTATAAATGAAATAACTTATCATTTTGAAAAATATGTGTAATTATGAGATTCTAACTGGTTATCAATAATAAGAGTGGACAGATATATCTTTTATATAAATACTTCATGTCAGAGATATAACCTTCAGTTTACCATTAGGTCCCTTTAAGTTGATACCAATTATTCTGTGAATTGTGTCATTAGTTTAGTTTTAGCTTGTGTTTTAATAGACAAGCCCAGGTTGACATAGGACATATCGCCAAAGAGCAACTAATTCACTATCTTTCAACAACTGAAAAGTCAAAAGTCAGATTCATTTCAAATTTGAGAATATTCTCCAAATTTAGGTTCAGTTTTTAAATTAGGCCATATTCAGACTTTGTAATATCTTGTAATGTTTATTACTAATTGCTTATTGGATAATTAAATAGATTAATTTAATCATACTTCAAGTAACTAATTAAGCAAATATGCTCAGTAGGAAGAGCAAAGCTACTATGTCAAAGTCCAACAACCCAAATATTTTTTGTTTTAGAATCCTGGCTATAGGTTAATCCTCCTCAGGTGGTCTAGAGGTTTGTCATGTAGTGCTCAGCAATTAAATTTATCTAGACACTTAACAGCAATCTCAACAGTATGCCAGCTCATGATTTTTATTATTATTAGTATTACAAAAGAAAATTACATTCATAGGTAAGCCAGTATGGTATGCTAGTTGCTTAAGTCCTACACTAAAATAATGGGTATTTTGTTATTTACACTAATTACCTAATATGGGCAAGAACCTAAAAGAGTGGTCAAAACTAGTTTCAAATGGGACCTATTATTTGTATAGAAAATATGTTAGTGTTGAATATTTTACACCTTCCCATATGTGGTATTATTTATAAGCATTAAAGAAATATACAAGGCACATAATGAAGATAATTACTTTTTATGTACGAATATACTTCAAGTTTATTAATTAGCAAGTTAAGATATTATTTGCTAGAAACAAGAAGTAGCCAAATAAACAGTTTAAGGTTAGTTGGAATTTTTTCATAATTATGGTACTTTTCTGCAAAAATTGTGTTATTAAATGGCTGAGTATCTATGGTAACACTGATTACTGTATTAGTATATGTACATGACTTACTTCTATCAAAAAAATACTATACTTATTATACTTTCTAGAAATCCCACTAATAGTACTACTAGCAATACTATGACTAACACTAGTACTACTAGTAGTAGTATTACTATTTTATTAACTAGATATAAATATAATGAAAGTATTAGTAACACGATAGAATTTTACGAGTTTTTACTTTTATTACTTATGTTAATGTCCTAGGCCTACGCTGTTACTATCCTACTATGCTTGAATTTATGACTTTTAGTTCTACAAAGTTAACTTCAAGTTGAAACTTGAATTAAGCTTAAATTAATTAATAATACAAGTAAAAGTTAAAGTTGTTACACTTAATCATAATGACTTAGCATTAGACTTACAAGTTTCAATAGTCAATTTTTTATATATAGCGATAAACCCAACTTTTAACAAAACACTGCACAAAATATTTAACATAATAACTGACAAATCACAATCATTTCATCTAACTGACTACGCCAGTTTAGTTTACTTTTTTCCATAAACTTCAATTTATTTCTCTTTGCTTACATGACAATATGGTGTTACTTTTTACACCGCTACTGCTAGAGGGCGCGCTACGGAAGAGAGAAAATGTTAGAAAGTTAAGCTCCAGTTGGAGATTTTTAATATTGTTGCGTCAGCGAGGTCACGTGACTAGTGTCACGCCACCTGCTTT